CCCCCTGGTTTTTCGTTTTATTTTTTTTTGAACCTCCCGAAATTTTAAGCTGGGGGGACCTCCACCCCCCGGTGCCCCCGTGAGGGAGGGGGGGGGTGGGGAACTCTGGGAGTTGAAGTCCACACGTCTTAAAGTTGCCGAGGTTCAGAAACACTAGTACAGACAACACTGAGGTGGATGAATCCATGATTTGATTCTGAAATAAGGTGGCCCTGCTGACCATGAGGTCCTCACAAGTGTAGCCCTTGGGAGAAACATGGTTGCCCACCAGGGCTCTGAGGTGGAATGGCAGATAGGGCAGATTCCTAAATTCCTATCAAAACAATCCTTGATTCAAATCATAAGAACTAGAAACCTATTTTAATCTTGAGGGGCTCTCCCCAACCCCGCCCCCCGGCACCTCCATTCATTAGAAGAAGTTCAATCAAGTTCAACCTTTCTTTGCAAGAGACGAGTGAGGTGGCCACACTATAACTTTGCAGATTATATACATCGTAAATGCATGTCTGCTTGCATGTAGAGCCATGCTGAGGTTCTCAAGGTCAAGCTCCAACTTTGTCTCTTAACATGGTTCGGTTTGGAAGGGATGAGAAAGAGGAGACAACACCGGTTGGATGCCTAAATAGTTGAGAACCATGAAGATTTGCTTCCTTTGTCTTTTACAGGGAGCACTATGGTTCAGTGGCATTGCACATGCATTATGTTTTAGGTTCAATCTTGGCCATTTCAGTTAAAAAAGAGAATCAGATCGCAAGTGATGGGGAAGCCCCCACCACCACCACCTCCCAACTCTAGAAAACCATTATAAGTCAGAATACGTAGTGCTAGGCTAGCTAGAGAAATGAAGGATTTAAAGCAGCCTTTTATTCAGAATCATGAGAACTAGGGTCTTGTTTTAATTTTAGGGGCAGAAACATAGCACCAAGGTCCAACCTCCCTTCCCCCAAAGGAAACAGAGGATGGAAAAGAGCTTTCTCTGCTTGGCATTGCAGAGAGCTGCTGCCAACCAGAGTAGGCAATATGGGGCTAGATGAATAAGCTTCCTCTTTACAAGTCAGACCACAAGGAGTTAAAAATCCAAGCACTTCCTTTCACAGAGAAGAGATTTGCAAACTTCTCCAGCTCTCTGGAGATTATGGATCTCTCACCCCCCACCCCACCCCCCAAACAACCCAAAGATAAATTTTCTACCTTTGGCCCTTTTTTCATTTTCAAAGATTTAAAATCTAACCTCAGGGCTGCTGCAGAATTGGGAACTCAGGAGAACATTGAAATCTGATTCACTGTCCCACGCCCCCACCCCCCACCCCAATCCCC